TGTCAAAAAAAAAAAAAACAAAGAAGGCTTACTCTCTATGTAGGAAAATGAGACATGCAAACCAAACAACTTGACAGCAGCACAGACTGGGTCTAGTATGGTCATATTCTGGAAAAGCTGGCACAGGTAAGTCCTAAGGAGATCAAGAAACAAAAAAGTCTTTGTGGAGTAGAGTAATCCAGGAAAGTCTCTTCAGAGATTACAAGCCTCCAGGTAGATTTGATGTGATTTGGAGGTAAATAAAAGAACAGGCATTCCAGGTCAAGGAGACTGCTTGCTTCCATCAGGGTACTGAGGGAAGGCCACTCTCAGGAGACAGTGTTTGTGTCACAGGCATATGAACCACAGCAATTCCATCTTGAGTAGGGGCTGGGTAAAATAAAACTGACACCTACCAGGCTGCCTTCCAGGATGGTTAGGCATTCTAAGTCACAGGATGAACTAGAAGATCGGCACAAGATACAGGTCATAAAGACCTTGCTGATAAAACAGGTTGCAGTAAAGAAACCGGCCAAAACCCACCAAAACCAAGATAGCAATGAGAGCGACCTCTGGTCATCCTTACTGCTACCCTCCCACCAGCGCCATGACAGTTTACAAATGCCATGGCAACATCAGGAAGTTACCCTATACGTTCTAAAAAGAGGAGGCATGAATAATCCACCCTTGTTTAGCATATAATCAAGAAATAACCATCCAAATAGGCAACCAGCAGCCCTCTGGGCTGCTCTGCCTGTGGAATAGCTATTCTTCTATTCCTTTACTTTCTTAATAAACTTGCTTCCAATTTACTCTATGGAGTGGCCTCAAATTCTTTTTTGCATGAGATCCAGGAACCCTCTCTGGGGTCTGAATTGGGACCTCTTTCCGGTAACATTTGAGCTGAGACTTAAATTATGAGGATGAGTCAACCTGCAGGTCTCAGGTAGAGGGAACAGCAAGAGCATTTGTCCTGTGGAGAAAAATCATTCACACTCATATTCAAAGACAGAAAGAAGGCTGACATGGCAGGCACACGGGGAAAGAGAGAGGGAGAGCTGTGGGCCACCTCAGCAGAACAGGCAGGGACCGACTGTCAGCCCTTTTCTACCCTTTATTTTAATTGCAACAGAAAGTCATTAAATTATTTTAGGTTTGGGCAAGGAGTTCTGGTAAGCAAGTTAAGTGATGTAGTTTATATTTTTTAAAGCTCACTGGTAGCTATGAGAAGAATGGATAATGGAGGAATGGATAAAGGAAAGAAGCAGGGAGATGATCAGAAGAAGCCTGTAGCAAAGACACAGGCTGGATCTTTGGGGGTGGCCCCAAGAGTGAGAGAAGTGAACAGTCTAGAGGTGTATTTTGAAAGCAGAACATGCAAGACATGCTGGTGATTTTGATAGAAGAGGGGAGAAGGGAAAGAGAAGAACCAAGGATGAGATCTAGGCTTTTGACTTGAGCAGTCCGGAAGATGGTGAAACCTCTTACTGAAATGGGGATGACCTGAAAAAGAATGTGGTCAGTGGACAGGGGAAAATCAACAGAGTTCCTTATTAGACATGTTATTTTTTGTGCCTCTTTTATACCTATATCTCTCATGGGTAGGAACTACCTGCAGAAACCTGGTAGCAAGGGCCTAATCAGTAAGGCATTTATTTTTCTCATATGGCAAAAAAAAAAAAAAAAAAACAGGAAGATGTAACCACATATAGTTGATATAGCTACTCAGGGATCCCTTTTTCTTCCTGCTCAAGCACCAAAAAAATAATGGCTTTCATTCTACGGTTGCCCCATGATTACAATATGTGTTCTATCTCCAACTTCTGGTCCAAGTTTCAGGCAGGAATAAGAAGGAAGCAAAATGAGGAAGTGTATTAATCTGTTCTCATGCTGCTAAAAAAGACATAGCCAAGATTGGGTAATTTATAAAGGAAAAAGGTTTAATTGACTCATAGTTCAGCATGGCTTGGGAGGCCTCAGGAAATTTACAATCATGGCGGAAGGGGAAGCAAACACATCCTTCTTCACATGGCATCAGTAAGAAGTGCAGAGCAACAGGGGGGAAAGTCCCTTATAATACCATCAGATATCATGAGACTTATTCACTATGATGAGAACGGCATGGGAAAAACCCACCCACACAAATCAATTACTTCCCACTAGGTCCTTTCCATAACAGGTGGGGATTATGGGAGCTACAGTTCAAGATAAATTGTGGGTGGGGACACAGCCAAACCATATCAGGAATGATGTGTGTCTATATCAAGGTTAAACAATTTGCATAAAGCCCCAGAAGATTTTGGTTGGCATCTCCCATGGCTACCCATAGTTGGAAGAGAGTCTAGAAAATACTGTTCTTAGCTATGCACATCGCTATCCCAAACAATATCAAGGTTCTAGTAGGGAAAAGTGGATACTGGGAAGAGAGCTGACTGTGTTTAGCTATAATATCCAAGTAGAGATTGAAAGTAGATGGCTGGCTACAAAAGTCTGGGGTCCAGGGGAGTCATTAAAGATATTTTTAAAAATACTCATCAGCCTGTAAAGGATATTTAAAGCCATGGGACTGAGTACACTTAGTCAGATAAAAAGTGAAGAAAGAGAAGAGGACTCTAGACGGAGCTTGGAAACCTTCCAACATTCCAAAGTCTAGTAGAAGAGGTAGAAAAAAAAAAAAGCTGAAAGAAGCAGTGAGAGAGGCAAAAAGAAAACCAGAAAAATGTGCTGACCACTGATGAGAGGTCAAGATAGGGAGGACAGGGAAGTGGCCACTGGTTTTGGCAACATAGAGATTGTTGGAAACCATGAAAAAAGTATTTTTACTAGAGTGACGGGGTCAGACTGGAGTGGGTTGAAGAGTGACTAAAAGGTAAGAAAGTGGAGACTGAGGATAGAAAACCTTTCCAATAAACCTTGCTATAAAGAAAACAGAGCAGTGATAGAGGATAGGTGACTTCAAGAGAAGTTTCTGGTAATTAGTCTGCTTGATTGCTTGCTTGCTTGCTTGCTTGCATGCTTGGCAAGTGAAAGATACTAGAATATGTTTCTCTGCTGATAGAGAATCTTGAATTTCAAGCCAAGAGATTAAAACTTAATTTTAGTAACATTGCGAGTTTTTAGCAAGAAAATGGTATGATGAAGTCAATGATTTAGAAAGATTCATCTAAAAAGAGCTGCCCATAAATTGTGTAAAACTGGAAAAGTATACATAGCAATGAAAAGTGCTGTATGTCACCCAAAGGGAACCGACTAATGCAACAGCAGATAGCCTTAAAAAGGCTCCTGGGGTAAGTCAGCCGTGAGTCTTTCAATGGCTAAAGAATGGGCCCCAGAAGGAGCATTCAGAATTGATGCCTCTCCAAAAGGCAAAATTTAAGCTTAAAGTCTGTCTCTGAGAGATCGTCTTAAAAACTCCAAACACCATAAAATATCTGGGGATAAAATATTGAAGCCATCACTAAAATCTGCTAAATATTAAATGGATGAATGTGTTGGATCAGCACTTATTTTTATTCTTATAATTTACTTTATAGAACATAAAGCACAAAAGACAGAATTCCTGTCCTGTGAAGTTTACAGTCTCATTCAGACATAAACTAAAACACTAGATGATGACCCCTAAAATGTTTTTTTCAGCCAAATGATTGGAGAAGCCACAAGCACCACCAACACAACCCTGTCCTCAGCCCCAACAGAAAATTCTGTCACTGACCACAGTTACTTACCAATTTTTGTTCATGTGTTGCACATACATTCCAAAATATTTGGAAATGAAAATGTGTTTATTTCTATGGTTTCTCTCTGCTATGTCTCTAATAACAATTAAGATTCATGGAAAGACTCAAATCATAAAATCATGTACATTAAAAGCATGGAGGAGGGCATAGCAGTCAATCAACTCAACCAATTTTCAGAAGGAGCTGACGGCAAGGAGCAGTGATTCACCCAAGGTCACTTCAACAAGTAGCAGAGCTGGGACTTGAACATGAGAACCTGACACAGTCTAGTACTCTTCCCTCTTGTCTCCTTCAGAAGCCAGCTAACTCATAGATGTTCCATTTGTTTATTTCCCAATGGATTTTCATGAAAATCATGAAGGGAATCATGCGACTCTTTTACGCTGTTTCCTCTGAACACTTTGGCATAATGCTGCACTTTGACAAAAAACATCAGCAAAGGAGAGCAAGAACTGCTTTCTAAGATCCAAATCTCATATTCTGATACACCAGAGTCAAACATGAGTCATATCTAACATGCAGCTGTATCTGACAAAAGGTTCTTCTGGTTTTTTATTCAATTTTTAAAGTGTTTTCCCCTACAAATCCAGTGCAAATCATCAGTCACATTTAAATTAACCTAAAAAAGAAGAAAAAATTTGCAGTTTGTGAGATTTGGGTGCCTAGAACAGCAACCTACAGATACCAGCATACAATATGTGGTAGATTAATTGACTGTGAAATTACAGTTTAAGCAACAAAGCTTTCTTAAAGCATTAGGGATGTAAAGAAGCATGTAAACAAACTGATTCTCATTATTTGTTGAAGAAAAACAGTTTGCCTTTTCCTCTTGCCTTTCTTTCTTTCTTTCTCTTTATAAATGTCTTACAAACACTTGCTCTGGGATCACTTCATTTGTAAAGCTTTCCTAAACACCACTCCCTGAAAAGGGAGATTTATTTGTAGAGGTGCTGAATGATTCTTAGCTCAAGCGATCACAGTTTCTGCGGATGTTAAAAACGAATAAAGCATTATACAGCTCAAAGCTATTGTATTAATATTATTATGATAAATAAGAAAGGTGAGTGGTCATTATTGTTAGGCAGGTTACTGATAGCCTGGCACTTTACCACCGCAGAGGACGATAGAGAAAATCAATCCAGCCCACTCATTTGAAAAATGGAAAAAAATGAGGGCTAATCAGAGGAAGTGGTTTGTCCAGGATACCACAACTAGTTAGAGACTGAGGTAGAGGCAGAACCCTATAAAGTATAAGGAACTACAGCCCCCAGGAAGTTCACTTACGTGACAGTCTCAGGCCATTGGATCTCATTCTCCACCAAACCACACCTGTGAGATCCCTTAGTCTTATCCAAGATGACTGGAGGTGTCCAGGACTAAAGCCAGCTACCAAGAAAGGCCAGTCATGATGAGACCCAGGTTCTCCAAAGCCAAAGCCAGGGGAGATGTGGCAATTAATTTGGAAGAGGGATGCTATTAGAATATTTATCCTATGGCGTTTTGCTATAATCACAGCAATACAGATAGCATCAACTGCACTTAATCAGATACCCAAAACCCTCAACTGTCAAAACGTTCATTTTATTCCATTTCATCAGAATTCTACAGCATGCTCAATTAGGCTTTTCTGTTTCTAAACACCATACTGATTTCCTAAATGATATTCCTTTGGTAGGATACCAATATAATAATTGTGGACAGTCCATTTAGTGACAGTTGTTAAAAGAAAAACCTCAGCCTAATTAAATTTAAAGGTGTTTAATTGAGCAATGAACCATTCATGAATCAGGCAGCCCCCAGAATCATAGCAGATTCAGAGAGACTCTAGGGGCACTTCATGGTCAGAACAAAGTTATGGACAGAAAAAAGTAAAGTGATGTACAGGAATCGGAAGGGAGGTACAGGAATGGCTGGATTGGTTACAGGTCGGCGTTTGCCTTATTTGAACAGTTTGAACACTCAGCAGTATATATGACCGGCTGAAGTATGGCTGCTGTGATTGGCCAAGACTCAGGTATTGTTACAGGCACAAACTCTTAAGTTAGGTTTTCAATCTTGTCTACCTATTAAGTTAGGTTGCAGTTTATCCACATGGACTCAAATATAGAAGTACAGAATCCTTCTCAGGCCACATTTAGTTCTCTTTTACACAGTCTATTTGTTATTGGCCTTCATATCATTTGTTGCTGCTTTTGTGTCACCTAGTAAGGAATAGCGTATGCAAAAATTTCTAGCAAGCTATGTGGGATCTTTTATACTCAGAATAAGAGAATTTGCTGTAAATCTAAAGTCAAACCATAAAAAATTTTCCCCAAAAAAATTAGAATTTTCAAAATATTGCCTATTCTATGGAGGTTAGGTACAGATAAAATGATGGGTTAAGCCTCCTAATTCACAGGAACATCTATAAGATCATGAAACTATCAATGTCTGATTTCTAGTATTAGTGCATATATGCTGATTAAGAGAGATGAAAACTCATGAATCTCAGGATACAAACATGTATCCATTCCCTTCGCATAAAATGCCTACTTTCTGGGTCATGGTATCTTCATTCCAGGGGCATGTGTCTCCCATTCCAGCTATAAAACAAGCTTCTCAGGGCTGTCTCATCCCAACGATACCCTCAGCAGAGTCCACTCAAAGCAGGGGGAGTCCTACCATGAGGAAGGGGCAGAAAGAAGAAACAGTCCCCTGGGGTTGTTTTCCTCACTTGGGTACTTGGCCAACAGTTTCCAAACAAAGACTTGCTTTTCTCAGAGCAACAGGATATGTCTCCTAAACTCTTTAGAGAATGAAGACAAGGACCTTCACAATGTCAGAAATGGAGTACCTGGAATTAAAATGAACTCTCTGAATCAGGGGGCTCAGGGAAAGAAGGATGACAAAGCCCAACCTCAGGAATTTCCAACCACATAAAGTAACAATAATGGTCATTTGTTCATTTGTTCAGCAAATATTTATTGTCTACTCTGAACCAGGCACTGCTCTGGGTGCTGAGGATACAGCAGTGAACGAACAGGCCAGGAAAGTGGAGAAAAAGGTAGAGTATATTAGAGGGGTGATAAATACTATGGAGAAAAGTAGAATAAGGCAAGGGAGAGAGATGGACAGTTGGGAAGTTAGAACAGATTGCAATTTTGATTAAGATATCCAAGGAAAGCCTTTCTAAAAAGGTGACATTTGAGTAAAGGCCTGTAGGAGATGAGGGAGTAAACCAGACACTACCTGGAACAACAGCTGAGGTAAGAACAAGTCCAAAGGCACTAGGCGGGAGCATACCTGGCATGTTGGAGGAATTGCAATCAGGCCAGTGTGGCCGGAACAGAGAGAATGAGGAGAGAATAGCAAGGACACAGAGAGGACATGCAGGGTCTTGAAAATCATAGTAAGGGTTTTTACTTAGAGTGAATTAGGGGAGCCATTACAGACAGAGTCTTGACCAGAGAAGTGGCATGCTCTGACTTACGTTGCAAAAGGATTATTCTGGCTGCTATATTGAGAATAGACTGAATGAGGAGGCCACAGTGGGGTGTGGTGGGTAGGTGGAGATAGCAGCAGGAAGATCCGTTAGGAAACTCTTACAGATGATGGTGACCCAGACCAGGAAAGTAGCAGTAGCAATTGTGAGAATGTTGAGTTGTGGATATATTTGCAGATAGAAACAATAAGATTGGCAGACACATTAGATGTAGGGTATAAAAGAAAGGAGCCAAAGTCTTCAAGGTTTTGAACCTGAATAGCTGGAAAGATGAACTGAAATGAAGACTAAAAGAGAAGCAAGCTTGGAATTGATGACCAGAAGTTCCATTTGGGACATGTTAAATCTGAGTTGCTTCTTCAATCCAAATGATGCTGCTGGGTAAAAGGACCTAGATATGTGGGTCTAGAACTGGGGGAAGAGATCCAGGTTAGAGATACAAATGTCAGTCTTTACTATAAAGCGTTTCTACTTGCTGGTCCACTTTCCATGGTATCTCTTCATGCCCAGAACTAGATTGTTCTTTGATACCTTTGACTTAAGGGGGCCCTACTCCTACGGAATTTAGTCATTCAATGTTTGTCCTCCTGCAGAAATGTCTTCATTTCAGGGCTCAAATGAGCAACTTGAAAAGAAAGTTTTTATTATTGCTCTAATAATTCTAGAAGCAGAACTTTTAAGTTTTTCTCTGTTAATCACTGAAGAACCTTGAAGAAGACTCTTTAAGAAGAAAATAAAGTAAGGAACTGTCTTGTGGAATTATTATACATTTTAATTTGTGACTGTCTTCATAGTAGTTTGGTGAGATACTCAACATTTCATTGCTATGGAATTGAAAACATTGTCGTTTTTTCTGCATTGTTATTAAAACTTGCCTATAGACTCAGTTTCCTCCATATAAGAGCTTATATTTCTTTTGACTAGTTTCTAAAACTTAAGGATGCATTATTTCTACACTGGCATTTTAAAATCTAATAAGGCTTTCCCTGGTAACCCTGGCCATATTTATGCTTCCCTTTAGGAATTTGATAATCCAGAAATCCTTCAGTCTCTATCTTTAGACTCTCTTTCAGAAATCTCCTTGAATCTATCTGTGACTACATTGTAAGGAGGAGAATCTCTCCACACCAGACTAAGATATTCTTAAGAAAGCAATAAACCAGTAGTAGAACTACTAACCATTTTCCACTAATTTTGCAAAATCTTAGGTTGTTTATGTCTTATATTGAGCACACCACACAGCTCAGGGAATGGCTATGTTGTACAAAGGCAAGAGCCTTTGCCTGGACTTGGAGTCAGGAGATGCCTGTTCTGGGCATAATGATGTCTCGTGCTTGGTTTGTGATGATGACAGTTGCAAGTCACCACACCTCTCAGTTCCTCAATTCTAAATAAGTAAAAATGAATTCTACCTACCTAACAAAGAAGTTGTGACTTCTAAATGCCTAAAACCAAAGGAATTATTTTTTCCACCCACTCCCCATCTGCCAAATAAGTATACCAAACTTTCTTCTATATTCCCATTCCTAGTGAATTATGAGGTTGGTGCAAAAGTAATTGCAGTTTTTGCCATTACTTTCAATGGTAAAAACCACAATTACTTTAGCACCAACCTAAAACCATAAATATTTACATTCAGTAAGATCTTTCTTATCAAACTCACCCAAAAAATACCACTACATATAGGTAAAATGTATCTTTCTAACTTACCCTGATTTTTAAATTTAGGACTTCAAAATGACCTCTAAAGCAGATGTTAGCAATATAAAGGGCTAGGTAGTAACTATTTTAGGTTTTATGAGTCATACCGTTTCTGTCCTAACTACCCAACTCTGCCACTGTAGCTGAAAAGTAGCTACAGAAAATATAAAAATAAATAGACACAACTGTTTTTGGTTGGTTTGTTTGTATTTTGAGACAGAGCCTCGCTCCGTCACCCAGGCTGGAGTACGGTGGCGCGATCTTGGCTCACTGCAACCTCCACCTCCCGGGTTCAAGCGATTCTCCCTGCCTCAGCCTCCTGAGTAGCTGGGATTACAGGTGCCCGCCACCACACCTGGCTAATTTTTGTATTTCTTTAATAAAGATGGGGTTTTGCCATGTTGGCCAGGCTGGTCTTGAACTCCTGACCTCAGATGATCCACCCACCTTGGCCTCCCAAAGTTCTGAGATTACAGGCATGAGCCACTGCACCTGGCCAGCTGTGTTTTAATAAAACATTATTTACAAAAAGGGGTGAGAGGCTGGATTTGACCCACAGATTATAGTTTGTTGGCCCTGCTGTAATGCTCAGGCTTTATTCTTCTGCACATACAAAACTCTAAGTCTTCAGAGAACAAACACTGAATTCATTCCTTACTTTATAAATTGGATAAATTAAAATTTCAGAAGTGGAATTCTTAAATAAGGAATATCAGTATAATCATGTATAATAAACATAACAATTCTACCAAACAGAGTACAATGGATTAGGAAATATATATACATGCATATATATGTATATATATGTATATATGTGTATATATGTATATGTGTGTATATATATACACAAACACATATATATATATTCCCAAATAATGCCTTGTACTAAGCCAAAAGCCTCATTCAAAGAAAATATGTATTTATGATATCTGGCAGAACAACAAAAGATTATTGCTACAGTTGAAACAGATCTCCAAGCTTTCGGAATTTACCTACAGATTACAATTTCCACTTTTGTTCAATTACAAAATATTATTAGCTTATAAGTAGAGATGTCAGAAATAATATTTAGAGATTATAAAACATGTATTCACATTTCAGTAACCCATTGGTAAGGACTTGAAATACCAGTCATATGGTTTGGCTGTGTCCCCACCCAAATCTCATCTTGAATTGTAACTCCCACAATTCCCACATGTCGTGGGAGGAACCTGGTGGAAGGCAATTGAGTCATGGGAGGAAGTCTTTCCTGTGCTGTTCTTGTGGTAGTGAATAAGTCTCACGAAATCTGATGGTTCTGAAAATGGGAGTTTTCCTGCACAAGTTCTCTTTGCCTGCTGTCATCCATGTGGAATGTGACTTGCTCCTCCTTGCCTTCTGCCATGTTCATGAGACCTCTCCATCTGTGTGGAACTGTAAGGTCATTTATTTAACCTCTTTTTCTTCCCAATCTCAGGTATGTCTTTATCAG